TAGTAATTGACTTTAGTAAGTGACATTAGTAAGAGACTTTAGCAAGACACTTGTTGTTTTTTACAGCATTTCGAAGCAGCCGAATACACCTAATATTAAAAACTGTTTTGTAAGTCTTGTCTTGTTAATCAAAAAGTATAATTTTAGAATGTATCTCCATATCATTATATTGTAATAACTTTAAAATAATTTACTTAATTTGCCTTGTTAAAAAAAATAATTTTATGACCTAAACTTCTGTTATTAATTTTAATCCCACACCAATGTCGACTACAATATCACAACAAAAATAGTTTAAGTTATTATTAATTAAGAGATGAACCTAAACCTTTAACATTTTTCAATTTCTAAGCTACCAAACCAAATTGCTGAATGTGAAACAGCTGTGGATTCAAACAAGAACCAACCCACAACAAATTTACAACCAAGTGATAAAAAGCTTTCCAGCATCACAACAACAAAAGTCATAAGTACACGCACCTATGTCAATGATCCAGTGAGTACAGTGCATAAAACTGCAAATATTCCGAAAAGTGATGATGGTTCAGTGATAATTGTGGAACGACAAAAGCAAAATCTACGTGGACGGAAACAACAGAGGCGTCGGGTGACAAAAACTCGCCAACGCGTTGTCGTACAACAGACCCCGGATGTTAGTTATGTCAAACTAGAGACGACAGAGGTGAAAGAAAGTACAATTTATAAAAAAAAAAACCAACTTGAAAAAAAAACATAACGAAGCCATAAGCAAATGCATGCTATATTTTTTCACATATGAAATGGAAAAAAAATTCCATCATAAATACGAGTTTGTTTGCAGCATGGAGCATATTTTGCAGGCAACAAAGGATAATGGAAATGCAACCAACGTAACGTACAACAACGCAACAATGCAACGCAAAGTTATTGTTTGTGTCGGAGATAAAAAATGTCCTTACACACTTGGCTTAAGGCACGTTTCACGCTCTGCATTGCACTTGGCGGTTTATTTAAATTGAGCAGTTAAATTCCAAATGTCTGCCATATATTATTTTTCATTTTTCCTTAAGGCGCTACTAGTTAGATTCGTTCGTTTAACACAATACGATACTTCAGTACAACGTCTGTTTGTATCATAAAATATATAAACATTGCATTTAAAGGACAAGATTTGACAAATTTTTTCCAATTATATGTAAATTGATCAATTTTATATTTTTCCTAAAGGGAATTTTTATTATGCTTAAAGAAAATGTGATAAAAATATCCAATAAAAATACTTAATAATATATAAAATAATAACAGAATTAAATAAGTATGCTTATCATACTTATTAAACTTATGAAATATAAGTTCTAACTTAAGTTCTAATCTGGTATACTTATTAAACACTAATACTTATTTAAACCAATTCAATAATATAATAAGTATGCTTAGACCTTACAGAAGTTTCAGTACTCCATGCACGAAAAGTATATATAAAAACAGGACTTGCTTTAGATTTCGACTTAGATTAAGTTATTATAGTAATAGTGTGGATTAATAAAAATCTATGAGCCCAATGTATAGCCACAAAAATTTTTAAAAAGCTTAAAAGAGATCAACTTATATACAGATGTCGGCATTTTATTGATTTTGTAAACCTTGTATTTGGCTACTCTATAACAAAAGGTTTCAACTTATTTTATCATCTTTTAGATGATCCGAATTTGTTTCTAAGACACAATGTTTAATAACCTTAATGATAAGCAGTGTTGAACTCTATCAATATTGCGTTTAAAAATACAGACAGTCGAAAACCATCCCAAGAATAGTTTTGACCGATATCGCGAACTTAAGTGTAGATTGTGTCTAGTCGTATTTATGTATACATCTATACCCAATCGGTAACAACAATCATAGCTTTTTAAAAAAAACGGAACTTCTACTTGAAAGATGTAGCATTGATTAGAAAGTCTTTAATATGCAAGAGTAGACAGTCAATCGGTAATAACAAACAATAGTTTTAAAAAAGCACGGTAATTTCTGCTGGAAAGATGTAGCCATGATTAGGACGTCTTTAATATGTAAAAATATTCAGATCCCTAAATAATCTTCTTTAGCCAGAACCTTAACTACATTGTCCGTTACTTATTTTAAAGCCATCAATGTAAGAAGTCAGATCCTTGATTGTATTATCCATTACTTATTTTTTAGCCATCAATATAAATTGTCAGAAATTCTTCTAATGAGAACCTTCCAGTAGTCAGGTACTCTGTTTGTATAATGCATATAAATTTTATATCGAAATAATCTGTTGATATGGTACTTTTCAACAAATGATTTCATACCTAGGGAAACATTGAAAACTGTATATCATAAACTGTGGGAATATATTTTCAAATACTTATATACAGATTTATACATAAAAATTTATATTCCATAGTTAGTTTCTATGATCAGTACGTTATAAAGTCCAGCAATTTTATAAGTATGTTAACTTAGTCCACATGGTTTTACAGAAAGTTTTTAAGTAACAATCAGCAAAACAATACAACTACTGGCATTATACAACATTTTTACTAGTAAATTATAAAGCAATAATTAAAGTAATATGTACGTTAAATCAATTCATAAGGTTTAATGCTAATTTTTGATAACTATATCTTTAGCTCTATCTGGTTCTATTTTTTTAACCAAAACCAAAAATAAATAAATTACTTCTTTATATTTAAATAAAATCCTTTTGTTTTTTAAATATTCATAACATTCATAAATCACCAAATTTATTGTTCTAATATTAATTCTTTAAATGAAAACTCAAATGCATTTGCGCTCAAACATAATTCTCATTTACTTTAGTGATCAATTTCTGTTTAAAGTCATCCATTTCTACTGGAATATTGTTTGATGTTAATAAAAATTTTTGACTATTACCTAGTTAAGCTTTTTAATGCTATAAGTATGTAGGAATGTAATAATTTATAGCGATTATATATAATTATATTAATACTTTATGTAGGTACACTGTACTTTCATTTACAAATTCATCGAAAATACTGATACTAAATAGATATCGAGTACTGAACGTATATTCTTTAAATTTGAGTTGAGTTTTTTAAGCCATTCTCTCTGTCTGCATCCCTGATCTCTATGAAATTCCACCTCTATGATATTTGGATTCATATGATGAATCCATCTATAAACGGTCTACCATGTAATAATTTTTGAGGGCATTATGTTTTTAGTAAAACCTCTTCGCTAATATTATGACCCATGGTATTGTTAGAATATTTTTAAAACTCAATAAAACAAAAAATTCGGTCTTATTGAAATGTGTTATTTTTAAGGCTTAGGTTCCAATGGGTTATAATAATATAGGAGACATATAATTTTACAATACAGATCTTCGGTTTGAGATATAAATTGCGATCATAACTACCATTTCACGCTCGACGGAAGTATTATGCGCTATTTTTATCTTTTTAGAAAAATTATTTTATTTTATTTTTATTTTATTTCTTTAGAATAATCGACTTTTTTTTTGATATGTGATAATATTATCGTATTATACTTATAAAAATTGATATTAATTTTATTTTAATTTAATTTTTTTAAATATATTTATTTTAATAGATATTATTTGTAATGTTTATATTTATTATATCTTAGTGTTCAATATTTTTCTAATGAATTTTTTTATCTTTAAAATTTTATTGTAAAATATTCTTAAAAACAGATTAATATAATAATATAATTAATATTTTTTTTTTGTAATATTTTATTATCTAAATTCTATAATTTTTTTTATTACATTATGTTACAATTTTTATTAAACACATAATTTTTGCTTTATTTCATCAACATTTTATTATAATTTTTAAAAATATATTGTATGTAAGACTGATCATTTGCAATTTAATTTATTTATAAATATAATTCCTTAAATATCAATATGAATATTTCTAAAATTATATAAAATTTCATAAATCAATTACATATAGTACAAATGTTTTTCTAAAAATGAATA